AAACAGAAAATTAGAACAGAACCATCATAAGGGATGCCCAAGAATCTAATCATTAATAATACATCATATAAACAATATTTTACATCATATACAATGATATAGTGTATATTTAATTATCACATACTATATTTTACACATAAAGTATATGTACATATATATGATACATAAATTGTGTACATGTGTTCACTTGGCAACCTGAGTATTATAGGGATTCTGACTTAAAGAAGATCTGCTTTATCTTGAGGTTTCTCCACCATTCTTTTAATAAATTAATGACTTTAGTGTTTTTACTATAAGTGTCAAAGATTCCTAGATTTTTTTAGATTGAAACAGAGATTTATTGATGTAGGAATTCTTCTGTGAATCTTGGTGGGAGCAGTTGTGGAGCACAGAGGGCATAAACACAGGAAACATCTCACCCTCACCTCACCTTGCAGTGTTCAGATGACAGCACAGGATGGATGGACATCTAGTGGGATTGCTGTCCTTTGAATTCAGTGTTCTCCTGGCAATGACAGCTTGACTAATAAGTGAATCTGGAATTTAAGAAAAGAAATGAAGTAAATTTTTCCTTCCTTTGTCCCTCCTTTTCCCTACCTTCATCCACCTCCATCCCTCTCTCTCCATCCATCCAAGCTTTTCTTCTCTCTATCTCTCTCTCATTTACCTTCTCCTATTTCTCAGGTAATCTATCAGGTTGAAACTATTCCACAATAGAAGTCTATTTTAAAAATTAAATAATGATATCTATAGTTCAACATTCTAATTGATCTAAAGAAAAAAACTATATATTGTCTCTATAGTAGATGAAAAAATGTTTTTCAGCAGCTACTCATGATCTATCATCAGGCCAGAAATAATAAAAATAGCTATTTGTTAAAACAAACACTGTACTCATTAATATGGTATTTAACATTTTACCACTCAAGTTCTATTAAAGAAAAAAAAGTCATAATCAGTTCTGTATCCAAATTTATACTGAGGTTCTCCAAATGAATTAGAAAAATTATCATCAAAACCATAACCAAAAACAAATGGAAAATATACAAAAGGCATGAAGCAGATAAATGAAGTAGCAAAATGTCTTAATTTGCTGAATAACTGTATGTACAATTTTTTTCAAAATCTAAAGACAAAATATATTAAATAATAACATAATAGTGACTTTGTCCATATTTTGAATAGCTGTTCATAATTAAAAGACAAATAAATATAATGTATTTCAATAGCTATAGTTTAGAATCTTATTTTAGTATTTCAGTTTCCAGTCCTGCACCAGTAGGTGAAGCCTACAATCACATTTACTCAAAAAGTTCAGACCTTGATAACTGCTGCTCCAGGTAAGCATGGGCAGGATTCCTATCTTATGTTTCTAGGACAGATCCTGCAAGTGGACACATGAGGAAAATAGCTGGGGCAGCCCAGCCTCACACTTCTGCTCCTCTGGTGGTTTATGTTAGGGTTTGTATCACTGTGGGCAGGAGATTATAATCATGCATAAAGAAATAACTTGCAACATCTTCAGGCTGCAGACTGCTGATGGTAAGAGTGAACTCTGTCCCACGTCCACTGCCACTAAATCTAGAGGGGATTCCTGTTTGCAGCATAGATCAGGAGTTTAGGTGCTTTCCCTGGTTTCTGTTGGTACCAGCTTAACTCATTGCTAACACCCTGAGTGGCCTGACATTTGATGGTGACTCTGTCTCCAGGAGATGCAGACAGAGTGGATGGAGACTGGGTCATCTGGATGTCGCATCTGGTACCTGGCATTGGAAAAGTAATAAATACATACATGGAATCAACAAATCAATAAATAATACATAGAACCAAGAATGCTATAAGAAAGCTTCATTAATAGCCAAGTATCAGTGACTATAACACATGGAGGAAATCTTCATCATTGTATTTTCTTACTTGGAATCCAGAGCAGCAGGAGACCCAGGCGCTGAGTGAGGGCCCTCATGTCCACGCTGTGTTCTGACTGAGACTGATGCCTGCATCTGGGGTGAACAGCCTATTAAGAAGGTATCAGGGTGGTGACTGTGCTGTGGGCTCATGCTAATCAGTAGGGGTTTGGGTTTGTACAGCTGCAAATCTGACTCTCTTAGTAACTGGGCCTAGACAACATCCTCGCTGTCTGTATCTCCACAGAGAAAGAGATTGCATCTGTTATCAAGCCAGTACAGATGCACCTGTAGAAATAACTTGAAGGAAATTTGGATATAGATTTTTAATGTCACATTAGAAACAGTGATATTTCATCATTTGCAAAAAATGCAAGTACAGGGTTAGAAATATGTTTAATGAAGTCCAGCTTAGAGACATAAAGCACACATGATTTCTCTCATATGCAGAAGCAAGTTCAAATGTATTAATGCATACATAAACACATAGAGGGACATATGCAAGGGTAACAAATATATTAACCAATGTATGGCATTTAAATGGGAGAATTCCAATGCTGTAACTCCTTAGATAAACTAACACAGTTCAATAAAATGAATACTGGCACTTGAAAGATGTGGAGGGGAGGTCAAAGGGAGGAGTAGATGAATGTAGCAAGGAATGTAGGGAGAATGCAGTCATAAACTCCAATGCAGATCCTGTGAAACTAAGAAAGTTGAGGGGAGGTATTAATGAGAATA